CAGGGGGTCGGACTCGATGATCTATTGAGGTCCCTTCCGACCCTAACATCTATGAATCTATGAAGTGGGGTTCAAAAGATGGTGGAGCTAGACTGTTCTCAGTGGTGGCAGATGACAGAACAAGGAGCAACAATCTCAAGTTGCAGCAAGGCAAGTTTAAGTTTGATATCAGGAAGAATTTTCTCACTAGGAGGATAATTAAAGCACTGGAACAGGTTACCCAGAGAGGTAGTGCAATCTCCATCCTTGGAGGTTTGCAAGACCCAACTAGACAAAGCTTTGGCTGGGATGACCCAGCTGGGCATGGTCCTGCTTTGACTAGATGACATTCTAACCCTAATTTTCTATGATTCTCCTTACCTGTCAGAAAGGGCTTCGTGACAAGGCAGTAACTGTTTTCCATTAGGCGTATGTTCTTGTTGGTATTCAGGGATTTCCTCGATTGGTTCCCATCAGTGTTTTTTCCCTGCATTAAGAAATTCTAAGGGCAAAATGCTCCTGTCTGAACTATTCTGGAAAGCTTTTAATTCACAGCGCACTTGTCTAGCATTTATTCTGTAATTGTTTTGTAAACATGGAATGATCCCTGAATACATCGAGATCTTACAGTGCAATTTAGAGAGGGGAATTTCATTCAAGTTGAAGGTAGAATTTTACTTCTACTTATAAATGTGTCATGTCAACTGGTCAGAGTCTGCTTAATCACATGGGGCAACTCCCATGGAATACCTGGAAGACGGATATTGCACGCATTGCCTTCAGCTTTAACTACTAGTTTCAGATATTGTTAAACAAAGAGGCTCATTTATCAGAGGGCAAAATTTAGCCCTCTAACTTGAATGGGTACAATTGTTTCCTATTTGCTTTGCCTAGCACCAGATCTGCAGGGTGTTAGGTGCTGCACAAAACACAGAGCAGACACGAGCCCCCCCCGCAAAGTATCTGCATTCTGAAATTAAAACTGGAAACAATTAATTAAAAAAACAAATGGAGGGTGGCAGTAGGGAAGGAGAGCAAAGACAACAGTAATAAAACTACATGGTTACAGCTCTAGCACATTTCAAAGCCTCTGCGGCATCTCTTTTCAGATAAAATCACCTAGTCTCAACTGCAATGCCTCTAGCCATGACTTGGAAATATCACAACAGAATTAAGTAGTAAAGAAGGATCTGCAGTAGCATATGTAGTGGCCTAATGGATTAATTTAGGGACAGTCTTTCATATATAAGAATGTGGCACTTTGTGAATATGAAAAAAGCAGCTAAGAGATGAAACCTCTCTTCCCTCTCAACTATGTCCAAAGTCTCAAACACTCTAAGTGGTTTCGGTTAGCTCTCCCCAGCTTATCTTTGAGTTGCATACTTCCTGATAAGGAGTCAGAGCACAAGCTACTCACAGTAGTTTGGTTGTCTAAACAATAAGCCAATGAAGGGACAGTATAATATCTTACAGAAGCAATTAAGTGAATCTCTTGTGCCAGTTCTTGCAAGAAAGGAAATACTTAAAATATTTTGAGAATTTCACTTGAGATTTCTTTATGTAACAGAAGAAAATGGAAGAGGCCGTGACATCCTTCATGCCACAGGGTGGAGACCTGAATGCCATGCAAAGATTTTTTTTTTTTTAAACAAACTAGAATGCCAGAACTGCAAAATTAGAAAAACTTAAAAAAAAACCCCAAACATTTAAAAGCAAGGGAAGGGTTTTGAAAGAGTCTATCACTTGATGATGCTAATCTATTCTACAGACATCTTTTAAAAGAGAATACCCTTTCTGCATTGGCTTTACCCCACTCTGCTACAAGTTACATTTTGCAAATTATGAAAATAGGACCATGCATATTTATAAGCTAATTTTGAATTAAAGGTAGCTCTGCATAATAATAAATTCTACTCCTCCATTTGCCCAAGGCAAGTGAAATTTCTTTCATTATCATCAGTCACAGCAAAGGATGGACAGGCAGTTTTTATGACTGGGCTGATAATATTTTAAGACAATCTTGTAAGGATGCATTAATAAGCAATGCAAAAGACAAACAGAAATAGAAGGATTAAGCCTACTCTAGGCTCTGCCTTATCACATCTTTGTAAAGCTTTGAAACCACTTGTGCAGCCTCCCTCCGAGCGCCATCACTCTGATCTGCCTGTGTTGAAATAAGCTAGAAACACACAACTTCAAAATGATTGACTTTCCCCATCTTTACCCAGGGTTACATTGTGACAGGAGTAAAGAGGCTGAACAAGGCACTGTGGACCCCTACAGTTTGGCCTTTTGCAAGCAGCCATGTATATTTCCACCTGTTAAATGCAACTCATTGATATGTCAGGGTCCCGTCATACCATTAAGGCCAGATTCAAAATACCCTGCCTTAGACAGCACCAAACTGTGAGAGAAAAAAGACCAAACAAGCATTGTCAAGGGTTTGAATTGTTTTTTTGAATAAACCCCCATTTTTCTGCAATTTCCTCATACCCAACTTGAGAGAACAAAAGAAAAAAGGTCTTCCTTTCCGCATCTCATGCTGATTTACCTTGAACACATGAAAGGCCTCAAACTGAATGTTGGGGCTTTTATCTCGCAGCAGGTTCATCATCAGCTTCAGGTTCTCTGGTTTGCTGATATATTTTGTCATGATGGCAAAATTGTGTCGGTCCAGAATCAATTCACCCAGCAGCTGTGGAAACAGTCACAAGAAACAAGACTTTATAGACTCACAGTATTTCGATGTCAGATGCGAGCACCATATTTTCACCTTTGCTCATAGGAGTTTCAATATAGCTTCCTTTAAAAAAAACCCCAACTCTGAGTTGAATTTGCAGTTAATGTAATGAGGTACAGTGTGATAGCACTGATCATTCAGATACTGCAAAAATGGATGCCATCTTAGAGTATGTATTAAGAGTTGGCCCAAGCCAGATATAGAAGTAAGCATAGCACAGCCACCCATAAGGTAGTTTTGTTTACATATCTCTGACCTGATGCAGAGAGCAAAGGAGAGAAAAGGAAAGGACTCCCAACCCACAGCCTACTTTCCCCTGTGGAAAGACCTGCAATGTCTGCAGACAGATCTGTGATTCAAGGATTGTACACTAAAATCATCTCAAGACTCACCAATGAGCCATGGTAGAGATCATCCCTGAATCAAGGGATTGTTAACAATGGCTCAACGTGCAATGCACCTTTTGGTTCCAGTCAGGAGGGTTGCACTCAACAGCTTGATGCTTCAGTGCCATGGATGAAATGGGAATTCTGGTGAACTTACCAAATTCCCTCATGAGCACCCTGAACTAGGCTCTAAGGGCCTCCATACATGTGCAGGGAGGCTGCTCCGACATGCTGTAATTGCATGGTAACTACTGCACTCCAGCAGACTTCGGTGTCATGTGTATCAGTGTCCCTGTGCTGAAAAGTGGTAGCGGGGCACTTTAAACTAAAGGTCGTTTGACAAGCTTTAGTTCAAAGAACTCCGCAGAAATTTTTCAGCACAGGGATGCTGATACACATGATGCTCTGGGCACTAATTTGTGCAGCTCTCAGAGCTCCATTAATTAAACGTCCCCAAAGCACATCTATAAATGCCCTAAAAGTTCAGGTGTCCTTGAGGAAAAAAAGAGGATGAACATTTGTTTCAGAAAAACTTGCTGCCCCAGCTTTATTCTTTGGATTCAGGAGCTGGGACTCTCTAATGCTAGCTATAATATAGATGCATGAAATTTCCCAGTTTTCAAAAATACTAAGATTTGCTTCAAGTAATTTATTTTGTAACAAAGTCTGCACAGTTACCCTGTTATAGCATCTTCTGCATGTTATGGAGACACAGATGCACGCGTGTGCGCATGTGCACGCACACACACACACACTTCACACTATGGAGCTAAGTAAAAAAGTTAGGAGTCTTGTGATTTTATAATTACCTTTAAAGATTGTCTCTTTGTTACATAATTCTCAGAATGAAGCAATTTTTCATAGTCCTCAAAGATCTAAAGGAACAAGAAGAAAGAATGGAAAGAATGTATTCTATTCGCAGCTATTCTTCTGTCCTGTGCCCCATCCACCTGGCACTGCTTCTAAGCCAGCCCATGTTACCCTCAAGTTCTTGGCTCCCTCTTTATTTGCAGCTTCTCCACTCTCTGCAGAGACAAACTGTAACATGCATGTGAAGGGTGATTCCCCTTTCCCTGTCAAAGGGTGGTTCAGTTCAGGAGCAATTACTGTTGGCTTGCACATGTACAGGAGTTTAGCATGAAGTAGTGCACTTGTGAGTCTCACAGTGTGCCTGCCTCTCATACATTATGAAGCTGCTGCCAAACTAGAACGTAAGGTCTACCATCAGATGTATGTGCTCAATATGCCGTCATTCTAAGAGGAGCTGTTCATTTCTATCCACGGTCACTTTGTCCTTTTAGCGTTGAGGGTATAATGCCCAAAACTGTTGAAAATAATGGGCCACATCTTGGGAGGCACTGGGTGCCTCTTTACTAAAGTGGTAATGGCCTTTGACACCCTTTGGTTTAAAAGCAAATCACAGGATCAAACCAAAAAGGAGTTGAATATACAGCTAATTCTTTCACTGTATCTTAGTCTGGGACTAAGATGGGAAGCTGGGTGACAGCGACCACGAGCAGATCACCTTCACCATCTGCCGAAAAGCTGGCAAGTCGGTCAGCAACACGCAAGTCCTTGACTTCAGGAAAGCCGACTTTGACAAGCTCAGGAGGCTTGTCAGTGAGACCCTAAGGGACCGTGACCACAGGGAGGGGGGAGTTCAAGAAGAGTGGTTGCTCCTCAAGGGAGCGATCCTCAATGCACAAACTAAGTCTATTCCATCTCGGAGGAAAGGCAGCAAGAGGGCACAGCAGCCCCCCTGGCTCTCCAGGGACCTAGCAGATCTCCTGAGGCTAAAAAGAAAGGTCTACAAAGGGTGGAGGATGGGAGTCACCTCCAAGGAGGATTATTCTGCACTGGTCCGGTCCTGTAGGGAGCAGACCAGGAAAGCCAAGGCTGCAACTGAACTCCAACGAGCTTTGAGCATCAAGGACAATAAGAAGTCCTTTTTCAGATATGTGGGGAGCCGGAGGAAAAGCAGAGGCAACATTGGACCCCTGCTGAGCCAGTCATCAGTCCCATGGGACGCCCATGCCCGCTACAGGGCCAGGAAGTCCGGGTGAGGGTGATCCCCTGCCCTCCATTAATGCTGACTTTCTGAAGGAACATCTTGAGAAGCTGGATACCTTCAAGTCAGCTGGCCCTGACAATCTTCACCCCAGGGTACTCAAGGAGCTCGCAATCATCATAGCCCAGCCTCTAGCACGGATTTTTGAAAACTCTTGGCACTCTGGTGTAGTGCCCGAAGACTGGAAGAAGGCCAATGTGGTGCCTATCTTCAAGAAAAGGAGGAAAGTGGATCCGGCTAACTATAGGCCCATCAGCCTGACTTCTATCCCGGGGAAGATCTTAGAAAAGTTTATTAAAGAGGCCATCCTTAATGGACTGGCCGACATCAACATCTTAAGGGATAGCCAGCACGGGTTTGTTGCGGGTAGGTCTTGCTTGACCAATCTCATTTCCTTCTACGACCAGGTGACCTATCACCTGGACAAGGGAGAAGAGATTGATGTCATATATCTTGACTTCAAAAAAGCCTTCGATCTGGTGTCCCATGATCGCCTCTTGGAGAAACTGGCCAATTGTCGCCTTGGGTCCTCCACGATCCGCTGGCTGGAAAATTGGCTCCGGGGTCGGACCCAGAGGGTAGTAATCGATGGAAGTCACTCATCGTGGTGTCCTGTGACCAGTGGGGTCCCCCAAGGCTCTGTCCTTGGACCCATACTGTTCAACATCTTCATTAATGATGTGGACACTGGAGTCAGAAGCGATCAGAACTGGCCAAGTTCGCCGATGACACCAAACTTTGGGGCAAAGCATCCACACCAGAAGACAGGCAGGTTATCCAGGCTGACCTGGACAGGCTCAGCAAGTGGGCGGACGAGAATCTGATGGTGTTCAACGCCGATAAATGCAAGGTTCTCCACCTTGGGAAAAAAAACCCGCAGCATCCTTATAGGCTCGGCAGTGCTATGTTGGCTAGCACTATGGAAGAAAGAGACTTGGGGGTCATCATGTGGAGAAGCTTGAGAGAGTCCAGAGAAGAGCCACGCGCATGATCAGAGGTCAGGGAAGCAGACCCTACGATGACAGGCTGAGAGCCCTGGGGCTCTCTAGCCTGAAAAAGCGCAGGCTCAGGGGTGATCTGATGGCCACCTACAAGTTTATCAGGGGTGACCACCAGCATCTGGGGGAACGTTTGTTCACCAGAGCGCCCCAAGGGATGACGAGGTCGAATGGTCACAAACTACTTCAAGATCGTTTCAGGCTGGACATAAGGAAGAATTTCTTTACTGTCCGAGCCCCCAAGGTCTGGAACAGCCTGCCACCGGAGGTGGTTCAAGCGCCTTCATTGAACACCTTCAAGATGAAACTGGATGCTTATCTTGCTGGGATCCTATGACCCCAGCTGACTTCCTGCCCTTTGGGCAGGGGGCTGGACTCGATGTTCTTCCGAGGTCCCTTCTAGCCCTGATGTCTATGAAATCTATGAAATTAGTCAAAGGGGGATGGTGATGGTTTGAGCTGGCTGCAATCTCTTCACCAAATGAACATTTTTTGTTAGTTTGTTGACTAAAAGTCACTTAAAGAACATTAATCTCTACAGTCTGTACTTTGATCTTCAATGCTACATAAACTCAGCATAGCAGCTCATTCGACCACAGTGCTTTAGGAGAGACGGAGGAAGGTAAAAGAAGATATAATAATTCTGCTCAAGTCAAAGAGCCTTTGTGACTCAGCAGCAGGCAAGCTTAAAGCCTTTAGTTAGCTTTCTGGATAACTTCTAATGGTGAAAGAAATACTCTTTGGCCTTTTTTATTTTGGCAGTAAAATAAAGAACATCTATGGTAATACGAGAACATAACCCTCAGCCTAATTCCATCAGCCACATAAGTTCAATTTCAGTTGATTCAATGGAATGTTTTTGACCCACATCTGATGTTCAGATCTATTTTAAATGAAAGAGAAATGGCAATAAACCAATAGATTAATTCACTTAGGATGATAAGAGTTATATTCACATCTCAGCCCCTTGGGACTTGGGCACATACAAATTTCCAGTATCACTAATTTAAGTTCCAGCAGCTCTTTTCCTATATCCCAGCATGTCATCTGAGATAAGAATGACAATTACCTAGCACTAGTGGAGTGTTACTGAACTGTAGCAAAAGGCAAACATTAAAAAAATGAAAGCAGTCTAATCTTTGTGCATATGTAATTCCTATTATTGCTAATAGAGATAGGTTGCATAATAACACTGTGGGAACTGCCATCTACCCTTCAACATCAAACAAGATTAGATTTTGACCCTGAGCTGTTCTAGAAATCTGATGTGTATTGTTTTCTGGACTCGAAAGAAGAAATAATGTCATAACCAGAGAAAACTAAAAAGGATTCTCCCCTGGTCAAGTGGACACTTTTAGCCAAAAGGATCTGATTCTCAGTTCTAGGTGGGGGCATGCAATCCTACTCAGCTCCACAGTTTGGTTGATTTTGAGTCATTTGGGATGCACTCTTCAACTGTCTACTGAAATACCTTCCCTGAAATCCCACTAGTGATTTCCATGGATCTCATCTGAGAAATGGATGAACTAAACCAGGGGTGTTCAACCCCTGGCCTATGGGTCAAATCCAGCCCATTGCACCACGTCATCCATCCTACAGGGCCCCCCCATGGACCGATGGATCGCGGCACACAGGGCCAGGTAGGGGCAGTGCTGGGCCCCAATGTCCGATCCCAGTGTGAGGGTCTGGGAGGCGGTAGCACCAGACCCCTGGGACCCAATGCAGCCCTGTGGGGTGGGAGGGAGTGGTGCCAAACCCCCAGGGCCCAATCCCAGCCTGTGGGGATGACAGGGGGCACATCCTTGTAAATCAATTCCAGCACACAGGGGTGGTGCCAGGCCTTGGGGCCCAATCCCAGCACTTGAGGCAAGGAGGCGGTAACGCTGGCCCCAAGGCCCGATCCTGGCATATGGGGCTTGGTTTGGGCCACAAATGAGCCCCACTCATCAGACCTGCAGGGCAAAAGTTTGCACACCACTGAACTAAACTGTTGAATTCAGAATTGGGACTCATGCATGAAATTTTTAAAAAACCAAACCTATTCTGAGTACTTCCGAAAAGCAGCAAATATGAATGGATTTATCACAATAATCATTTCTTAGTAAGGTTGAAAAATCATTGGTACTTACTGTATCATAATTCTGTTCAAGGAAATCTGCTACCAACAATTTGTGTCTTGTAAGTAGATCCTGGTAGAGAACAAACCAGGAAAAAATGAATTCAGTGAAACGATTTGTCAATCAAGTGCCCATATTATCTGCACTAATTTATGCCATACATTTCATGTTCAACTGTAAGAGCATAAAGAATGTTTTCAGTCAGGCCTCCTCCTACAGAATAATTTCCAAATTTATCTCAAAGAAAGATAATTCAAAGAATGATAATGTCCCGTTTACTACCAATTTCATAGTTTCATAGTTGGTAGGGTTGGAAGGGACCTGAGCAGATCATCAAGTTCGACCCCCTGCCATGGCAGGAAAAAGTACTGGGGTCCAATGCCCCCAGCGAGGTGTTCGTCTAACTTCCTCTTAAAGACCCCCAGGGTAGGAGCCTGCACCACTTTGTTTGGAAGTTGGTTCCAGATCCTAGCCTCCCTGACAGTGAAGTAGCGCCTCCTTTCAGTTATCAAGTCACATGTTCATTATGACTTATGAACAGTTCAGTGAATAAAAACAGAATTAATATCATTTAGGCCACTGATGGATGTTAAATCCCATTGCACCATATTGTTGGTGCAGGGGGAGCCAGGGACCATGATCATGAGGCGCCCCCTGAACCAGTAGGTAGCAAGCTTGGCTCATGACACTCCCATGGCTGGGAGCCTGGATCAGCTGATAAGCGCTTTCAGTTGTGGTAGTTCAGAGGAGCCTTTGGCTCTGATACACTCCCCTAATTGGGAGCTCCAATCAGCTAAACTGGGGCTTCCAGCCTCTGGAGCACATGCGAGTCTTGAACGGCTCCAGTGTGCTCTGGAGGCAGGGAGTACTGGTCACACGTTCAACTAAAGAAACGAGTCACAAATTTATTATGCATTTTTTGTGTGATAACTTTACGGCTTATTCCTTGTTTTATCAAGCCATTAATTGAATTAACCTGTGGCCAGCTCACTACTTAAGATGTGATTAAGCAGTTAATCATGTTCTAAGCATAATGTCTGATTGGGGCCCTAGGGAGTATTAGCAGTCCAAAACCTACAGCCTACAGCCTAGATCTGTCCCACTGAGCTGTTTTATCTAGCCTGTGGGTCTCCCCACAGGTTCAGAAATTTGCCAATAGGGGAGTGGTGGAAGCATTGACTACCACTCCCCTGCTGCCAAATTTTTGGTCCTGTGGGGAGCCTTGCAAGACAGATGACATGGGCGTGCATTGCTAGATCATGCCAGTGCAGAGTCAGGCCAGTCTGTGGGCTAGATACAGGCGTGCAGGGCCAGGCTAGTATATAAGGCCTGAGCTCGGGGCATGGGATCAGGCTGGACTGCACCCACAGACTGATCCTGCACTGGATCTGACCCTTCACCATGCAACTGGCCCGCAGCTAGGCTAAGCACCACTGTTCTAAGCAGATCCATATAGATTTTTTTATGACCTGTGAGCTTGTGCAAGAATTAGTATTTAAAATGTTAACAGTAAAATAACTATAACTTAAAATTCAAAACAACCTTTTAGAAAATGGCACATAAGCAGAAGAGGCCAGACTATAGCCTGAAGGCCACATGTAACCCATGAAATCTGCAAACTGTCCCAGACCTGCTCATTTCCTTAAGCAACATGGTGAGGAAAGAGTTGATCAACTATAGCAGTGGTGACCAGCCTTTTTTGGCAGGTGCCACAAATTAGCCCTATAACTTCCGAGTGTCACTCCAATCCCCTTCCTCTGCCTGATCTGCTGCTCTGCTTTCTGCTCCCTACTCTGCACTCCTTGCCTGATCTCTTGCTCTGCCTTCTTCTTCCTGTCCTATGTGCTGCTCTCTGCTCTACTATCTGTCCTCTCCCTGATCTGCAGCATGCCATACATGAAGGCTGCCCATGCTACTTGTGGCACTTAAGCCACAGGTTGGTCATTACAGGAATGTACTGCTGATGAATGCAAATGCAATTTTAAATTTAATCCAACACTGAGGAAGTTATTACCAATGAATATTAAGGTCATATCCACTTTTTTATTTAAAGTGTTAATTTCTATACAAAGAAGCTTGCACCCCCAAAGTTGTTTAGCCTCACAAAGTCCTACAAAAAGTCAATAAATGCATAACCAGGCCTACAAATTAAAAGTGGCAGACTACATCCACATGTGCCTCAACTTCAGACCTTGTGAGGCACTCTCACACTCAATAAAGACTATGGGAGCTTTTTCAGCACCCCTGATAATCAAGCCTCTATTAGGCGTCTGAAGGAGAACTCCAGTGCCAAATTGGGGCATCCAAATTTTGAATCCTTTTTATCTTACTGTCCTCTTCAACACTGATGTACAACAAAGGCCTCATTAAAAGCTAGATGAAGTTAAAGAATATTTTTCCATTGACTTTAATGTCTTTGCATCAAGATCTGTATCTTTTTTCAATTTAATTTTGCAAAGATTCACCCCTTCTTTCACCAGCTTTCATACTTGCTGTCAGAAGCTGACAGATGAATTATCTTCATAAAAAGCTGTTCTCCACATTTCCAAAATTAAACTTAATCAGAGGGCTCATCAGCTTTTTATTTATTTCACAACAAATTAGACTGAAAAGATTCATACTTGCAGCATTTGTTTCATCAGGTATTTTAAAGAGTCAAGGAGAGGCCCATAAGCACAAGTGCTATAAAAACTGGTATGCTGTGCTTATAAAATACTCTATTATTCAGCAGGGCTATAAGGGTCTCGGGTTGGTTAGCAGAATAGACTTTAGAATGCAATATATGTTTTGTGTAGGACACTTATCAGCTGAGTGCAACATTGAGTGCAACATTATTCAATGTTGCACAAATTGAATATAATCCAAAATTAGTTTTGTTTTTATTCATAGAAAAATGACAAGACAGTACTGCACCACATGATGTTATCAGTACTGTCCCTCCCTTCCAACAGGTACTCCCTCCACTATTGATTGCGTCTCTAAATACAAGTCAGTTTTTCTTGTTTCACCTGCATGTGCTTGGCAGCTCAGCTCCCTACCCCGCTGCACCTGGCTGAATTTAATTAAAAAACACATCTTAAGATCATTAAAAATTCCAAAACTTTCCTACTATAAATATCCTTTAATTTTAAAGCAGATTTAATTAAATCCTTCTCTGCTGCATGTAATAGACAGGGCTTTCTTCTTTGAACCAGACGCCCATGTAGCTGTATTAGAAACCAAACAAGAGGCTGGCAAAACCAAGCACAAGTTCAGTAATCCAGTGAATGAAAAGCTGTAAAGCTTATTTTTAGTCTTAAAAATCAGGGTAGTAACGCAATTTGTGAATCCTGTTGGTTGCACATCACTTATTTCTATTCTTGTGTCTTATTTCTTTCACTGGCCAATACAAGAAGCTTCAGATAAGGCAAAAGAGACAGCCATGTTATGGATTTACCTCTGCTCTGAAGCCTGAGGCTGAAATGTACTTTCACCTATCTAGCTAGCACAACTATGGGTTTTTGTTATTCATGCATCCTATTTTTAATTCCTACTAAACTCTCAGCCTTAATAATACAACTTGTGGCAGTGAGTTCCCCAGCTGGTGAGTTTAGGAGTCACATCATTCTACTCACAGTGATTCACTGGGGGTGCTGTAGTTTGCAGGCTCTACTGCAGTTCAAACATGTTTTATCCCAGTCCCTGCTATGTGTTTCTGTTACTCGTCCCAACCATATTGCTACTATCCTCAAAGCACAATTAATCTCCCTTTCTGAAAATGATGTAAATTTCTTCTCCAGTGATTTAGCAGCAGAGCTTGGAATAGAAAAAAAACCATCAAGGAAACTTTTATCATCCTTGACTCTGCCTGACAGATAAATACTTTCTCCTTTGAACACAGAGAGAGGAATGGGACAAACACTATTTAAGAAGTTAAGTCATGGCACATTCTTGTAAAAAGCTGCTACAATGAACATATTTTTTACTTGTAAATGCCTAATTTGTATACTACTACTGCTATAATGATTTTAAACCAGAGATAACAAGGTTAGATAGCAAGCTAAATAATAACTAAGCCTCCCCTACTGTTTAATAGAGTTGGTAGGAATTGGAAATCCACCTTGATTGACTATTTAAGAGCAAGGAGCTATTCCCATTATACCAATGTCTACCTAAGGTGCTTGTACACACCACGGGGGTTTAATTTGGTTTACTTCTCCCTAAATTGAAACAGTAGGTTTTTAAAAAGACTGCTTCAATGTAAACTGAACTAAAACCCCATGGCGTGTACCTGCCTCTCTGGTAGTGGGGGTGAGGAGTGAGCTGCCAGCAAACCAAACAGTCCCTGAACTACAGGCAAGGTGGGGGGCGGGATGGCAGTGCTTTCCTCTGCAGTGGTAGTGCTCACCAGGTGGCACCTGCCTTCTGGCACCCGGCCCAGGCACCACAGCTGTGGAAGGAAGCACTGAGCCCCCATGCAGCTCAGGCAGGCAAGCTCCAGGGAAGAAAAATAAATAAATAAAAAGATCAGGCCTGGTGTTGTTGTTTTTTCCTTCAGCGGATCCTGCCTGCACGAGCTGCAGTTGGGTTGCGCAGCCTGAGCCGTGCAGGGCCCAGTGTTTCTGTCCATGGCTGTTGCACTTTGTTAGGGTAGCAAACTAAAACACCTTGGAGGTGTTTTACCTTGCTACATACCAAAGTCATTTAAAGTGCAATAGGCCATCAAGAGTGTAAACAGCAACACCATTAAAGTGGTGCAAAAGCATGTAAGTTGCTTTAAAGGCTAATTTTGTGGTGTGTACAAAGGCCCCTATGCAATAGGTTAAAGGATGACAGTAAAAATTAAGACCAGGTTTCAGGTCTTGCATTGCTGGATTGAACTCTCCAAGAGTATCTTTTAATTGTTTCTGGGGTCTACCTAATCATGTTTCTAATTAGCTTTTCATGAGGAAAGAAGGAACAACTTGTTTCTATGACAGCAAAGAACAGACACAAGAAAAAAGAACCACGTCTATATTTAGAAGGATCTCTCACTGAAAAGATTTTCTCCCAGCTTTCTTAAGTGATTTTTTCAGAGACTACCCAAAATGTTC